ACATGTTACAGTGTAGGTGCAGCGTAAGCGCAGGCTAGGTGACAACCTTGAAGAATGCATGTCTGCATGCATGTAACACGATTGGACATTAAGGGAGGCGCCATTGGACTTGGCGAAAGAGTACAAAAATGAAATGTGTCGCCATCCTCATTGGCGAATAATAGGTGACACGGGTTGCAGAGTAGGCGCATGCTAGGTGACAGCCTTGGAGAAGCCATGCCTAAATGAATATAACACTATTGGAGGTGATGGGAGGAGACTTACATGTTACAGTGTATGTGCATAGTAGGCGCAGGCTAGGTGGCAGCCTTGAAGAAGGCATGCCTGAATGCATGTAACACTATTGGAGGTGATGGGAGGAGACTTACATGTTACAGTGTAGGTGTAGAGTAGGCGCAGGCTAGGTGGCAACCTTGAAGAAGACATGTCTGCATGCATGTAACACGATTGGACATTAAGGGATGCGCTATTGGACTTGGCGAAAGAGTACAAAAATGAAAGGTGTCGCCATCCCCATTAGCGAATAATAAGTGGCACGGGTTGCAGAGTAGACGCAGGCTAGGTGACAGCCTTGGAGAAGCCATGCATGGATACATGTAACACTATTGGAGGTGATGGGAGGAGACTTACATGTTACAGTGTAGGTGCAGAGTAGGCGCAGGCTAGGTGGCAACCTTAGAGGTTACAGCCTTACTTAATTCAAATTCAGTATGACCTATTTAGTCTTACATTTATCAAAACACTGATTCACTTAATCTGTCAAACCTTCCAACCTTCAAACATACAAACCTTCGAATAACTCATAAACTTCAAACATTCCAACCTTCAAACCTTCAAACAACCATACGCAATGGCCTCTGCACCCCAATATGTCATCAATGCACATTTCAACGGTGAGACATACATTTGTCTCACCTCTGGGTTTTTGTTTAGAGACACAAACAACATCCGATTTCTTTTAAACAGGAAAGCCAATTTCTCATACTTCAAAAAACGATTGGAGGCCAAACTTGGACGAGGCCCGGTGACACAAATATTTTATCAGAATCCAGTTTTTTTGGTAACAACCAAATAATATTTTATAAGGTTGAGGTTCAAGATGACGAGGGTCTTCAGAATATGTTTTCTAGTCATGTGTATTATGGGTACGGCTCTATTGAGTTGTACATTATGCTGCGAGAGCCTCAGGTGACACAAGTGGTTGATCCTTTGGAGACCGAATAAGCAGAGGTAGATGCAGTTGATGAAGAAGAAGAAGATGACGAGTTATAGTTTGATGAAATGGTGAATGATGATTCCGAAGATGATGGGATACCTGGTATTCCTGCAAACAAGATCTACACACCACCTCCGCACATGACAAACTTCAACATGGGCGGAGATGAATCGTCTTCTGATTTATTTTTCAATCCGTATATGTAGTCGGATGAAAACTTAAAAGAGAAGGACAAGTTTCGTAACAGAGAAGAATGCATCAGAGCCATAAAAAAATTCCACATGCTCAACTCGATCGATTTTAAGGTGGACCGTGTCAACCCAGAAAGGTGTAAGATCAAGTGTGTCCACCCTGATTGTATGTTCAAGCTCACTGCATCATATAGATTAAGAGGTGATTGTTGGGTCATAGGTTCCATATCTACCCACACTTGTGTCAGTTCTACCCAATCACAAGACCATCGAAAACTTAATTACGATCTCATTTGTCAAGAAATCCTACCACTCGTCAGCAACGACCCATCTTTGAAGGTGAAAACCATCATCTCCCACATCACCACGGTTTTTAACTATACTCCGTCTTACCGTAAGGCATGGTTAGCAAAGACCAAGGCGATTGAAAAAGTGTACGCAAACTGGGAGGAGTCATACCAAGAACTTCTTCGCTACCTGAATGCACTCAAGACTTATTCTCCGGGTATTGTTTACGTTCTGGAAATAGTGCCAGCATACGCCCAAGATGGTAGTCAACTAAACGGAAACAGAATATTCAGTCGAGTGTTTTGGGCATTTCAACCTTGCATCACAGGGTTTGCATCATGCAAACCAATTATACAAATTGATGGAACTTGGTTGTATGGGAAATACAAAGGCACGCTACTGATGGCAGTTGCACAAGATGGAAACAACAACATTTTCCCAATTGCCTTTGTCCTAGTCGAGGGGGAGACCGGTGGTGCTTGGAGCTTTTTTCTGAAAAATCTGCGAACACATGTGGCTCCTCAACCAGATCTCTGTTTGATCTCGGACAGACATGCCTCCATTGAAAGTGCCTATAATAAACCTGCAAACGATTGGCATGACCCTCCTTCTACGCATGTCTATTGCGTTAGGCATATCGTCCAAAATTTCACGAGGAAGATCAAGGACAAAACACTAAGGAAATCGGTTATGAATGCGAGATATGCATTGACACAATCCACGTTCAAATATTACCGCAACGAGATCCGTTTGTCAAATTCGGAAGCCGATAGGTGGATCGACAATATTCCGCTGGAAAAATGGACTAGGTCATACGACAATGGCCAGATGAGGGCACATGACAACAAATCTTATTGAATCGATGAATGGGGTATTCAAAGGCATATGAAACCTCCTGATCACTGCTTTGGTAAAATCTACGTATTTTAGGATGACTTCGTTGTTTGCCAAAAGAGGTAAAATGTGGAATGCGGTGTTGCAATCTGGACAACTATAGAGTGAAAGCTGCATGAAGTACATTAAGGCAGAAAATGTCAAAGCCAACACTCATGGACACAGCCACAACTTCATTGTGAAAGAGACAATCGACCACAACTAAGGTCTGCCAAGACAAGAATATAGGATTATAATGTCATTGTCGCTTGTGCTTATACCCATCAAGACGCGCTACAACTTCTGTCACACATTTACAAATCTGAAACGTTGCTCAACGTTTACAACAACTGCTTTCCTTTGGTAGCAAAACCAGATTATTGGCCTGCATACGACGGCGAAATACTGTAGCACAATGACCAAATGCGAAGGAACAAGAAGGGTCGTCCTAAAAGTGAGCGCATCACAACCAAAATGGACGACCTTGACAAGCTGGAAAGAAAGTGTGGTTTATGCCGTCAGGTCGGACACAATCGCAAAAATTGTCTGAATCGGGCGTCTACCTCGACCACATAAAAATTTGTAATACATAAAATCTTTCCTTAATGATGTTGTAAACATTAGGATTTTTCGTTAACAGTATTTGCTACAATAAATATTGCACGTACAAGAAAAAAAACACAATATTTCGTCTACGAAATTACAACTGTTAAAACAATTTCATCTGACTCATGCATCATAACATTACGTCGCTGTCTGTTTTGACTTCCTCCAACCATACATTAGGTCTTCCAGTCGCATGTGAGGTTGTTCTTTCAGTCGCATGTGAGGTTATTGTTCGTCTTCGCTGGATCCTTCGAATTTCCCCCATCCACAATATCTCGATCTAACCATCGCATCAACTTCCGCTTCAGACGCTTCATTGAGTGGATATGCCAGAATTTCATTTTCATCGCACGTTTCGTGGCGGAGAAGATAACGTAACCATCTCTGGTAAAAAATCATGGGCGATGTCATGATGTAAATAACAGAGTAAAAAATAAGAAAACAATACAAGAAAATATGAGAAATGACGGAGAAACAGACAAATTATTTATAAAAACATCATTTTGCCCTAGGAGTCAAGTGAGATGGCGTCTCCTCTCACTTTTAAAGAGCATGCGCCATCTCACTTGGCTAAAAGAGAGAGGATGCGCCAAGTGAGATGGCGCCTATGGCAAAAATGCTGGTGGAGACGCCAAGTGAGATGGCTCATCCTTTGGGGAGTAATTTGAAACATGATTATTTGCGTAACTTTTTTCGAAACGTGGTTATTTGCGAAAAAAATTTTAATACCTGATTATTGCAAAAAAAAATTCCACATGTTCAGTCAAAATCAAAGAAAACAATTACAAGGAAATAACTCAAGTACATGAAGTCTACATTAAAGCTTATCTTAATGCCTCAAACCAAGTTCAATTTGGCTTCACCTTCATGCCTCTTCCAACACTTTGCAATCTTCAAACAAAGCCCTACTAAAATTTTCTTTGCTGCCCAAAACTAAAGCCAAACCTGCACAATCAAAATGTTGTCCAGAACTAAAGCATGGAAAAACCAGTTCACACAAATAAACCAAAATGGCCCTGCATCCCAAATCAAATAAAAGAAACAGGAGGAAAAATCAAAAGAAAATATAAGGAGAAAAGAAGAAAACCATGAAAAATCAGAAAAAATGAGGGAAAATTTCGGAAGGAATAAATGGTAGAAACTGTGAGATATTATATCAGAACAAAAATTCTAACTCACAAGAGTACAAACTTGTTAACCAAGCCTCATAATCAAACCTGATCTCATCCATCTCTCATAACAAACTCTCACAATTAACAGCTCAGATTCATTCAAACTTTCACAACTCTTAACAGATTATAAAAAAAAAACTCACCTTCATTGAGAATCATTCTTCAATCCATCACACACATTTTCCCAGAAAACTCAAAACTCAAAAAAATACACGATTCATACCATCACACACAGAAAACTCAGAATTAATCACAAAAAAATCTCAGAGGGACTCTCTCTCTCTAACATTCACGATTCATACACAAAAATACAGAAACTTCAGAGATTCATTAATAGAGAAACTTCACAAAAAAATCGAAAAAAGAAGAAAACTCACCAAAAATCTCAAGAACTCTCTGGATTTCTCTGTCTCTTCTTCAAGTTTCTTCAACCGGCAACAAGAAATTCCTAGCAACTTCTCATCATCTTCACATCAGCTCTTCAATCTTCGTTCTTCGCAACACTGTAATTTCATCTTCCTCGCACCTCCGCTACATCATCTTCATACCAAAACCGCACGATGTGAACTGTTGCATCTTCACGCTTCTTAATCAGTGCTTCTCCATCAACGCCATAATGCACAACCTCAACACATTCAACAACGCGAAGACGCATCAACCTAGCTGAGAATCGTGAGAAGACGAAACTCGACGTTGGAACCGCGACGAACACAACTGTGAAACGGCGGAGTAGAGCGAGCCATGAGTGAAACCGAGATGTCGTTGATGCATCGGAGTTGACGAACTGAAGAACGGAACCAAGGCGGAGGCCGATCGAAGTTTCAACGGTGACGAATTAGATGAAAAGAATGTCTTAATCGGAGAAAGGAAGGAGAAGAAAACGGAGATGAAATCGAAGGCGTCGAAGCTGAGACAAGGGAAACGGACGAAGATGATGAAGACGTCGGAGGAGATCGCGCCGCTTTGTCGAAGAAGTTGAGCCATCCCCAATCTGTGAACCCTAATCGTATCCCTTAATTCATCTCTATTTTAGGCTTAATCTATTTTATTTGTTTATTAGTGATAATCTAAAGAATAAAGGTTGGATAATAATTAAACATGCTGAAATTTTGATGGATTTTGGTATGATAAATGGACCGGATCATATTCTCTTGAGGTCTATGGTCTTTTTTTTTTTGAAGCTGTTCGTTTTTGGTTGAAGCATAAAAGTGTGAATTGGACCAAGCAGGTTGGGCCATTGTGCCAATTTCGATCCACACAGTTTGATCCAATCTGCACCCCTTGTATAATTTATATGGCTTTCTATTAATTTTTCTTGTCATTAATTTCGATAAATTTTTTGGTGATAAGATACATAAAAATAGTACGAGATATTAGGGGATTTTTAGAAATTAGTTAGATTTCTTGTACGATCAATTATTGTGTTAATTTTTGGATCTTTGTTTGAGATATCTTGATGTCATTTATGTATGATAGTGGTGCTCGATCTATGATACGTGTTGGCACGATTTTTGGGATAATTTTGTTGGAGATTTCCAGAAGTTACAAAGTAAATTAAGAGCCTAATCTTTGTCAAGGGAATTCAAGGAAGTTTTTGGTAGAGTTTTCTCATCGCTTGTGTGGTTTTGAAGAGGCGGCGAACTTTCTCCGTTAGGTATCGCTTGAATCTTTTTTACCTCTCTTTCACACATCATGCTAGACCTTTATTGATTGTTAGAAGCATATAACGTAGTTGCATCTGAAGTTCTACCGTTGTAGGCTCTATATTTGCGTAGTTAGGGATCATTTTACACTTAGGTGTATGTTGGCTTTTAAGTTATTTCTTTTAATGCTTATATTCTTGAGTATTGTTTATTGTTGGGCGATGAGTCACTTAATTAGAATTGAGATCACAACTTCGTTATTATTTGCATGCTCCCCAATAGGATTTTATTGCTTTCCTTTTCTTTTGTTGAAATGATGAGTCACTCAATTAGAATTTAGATCACGACTTTATTCTTTCTTACATGTTCTCTTAGGATTATTTATCTTTACATGCTAACATTAGGTATATTCATCTTTGTTATCCTTACTTTAGAGCCACCATTGCATGTCAACATTAGGACTTGAGTTTCCCTTAGAATTTCCATTCCCCTTTTGCATGTTTAAGACTAAAACTTCTTTTTTCTTATCAAATCTCAAATATACTTAATAATAAAGAGAAGAACCATGTGTCATGAGCCTTAAGTATTGGTATGAGTATGAGGAGGAGCATTCTTAACCTTGTGCTTTCTCTCAGTCATAGTCTTTAATGTAGTTCAAATCACTAAATCCTTTTTCAAGGTGACAAAAAGACTTAACCAATCAAATATATTTTGCCTTTTGGATTTTTTATTTTGAAAACCTTTTCAGGTAAGAACATGTTAGTTCCTTTCTACAATAAATGCAAGAGTTTCCAAAGGTCGAGCGGCAGTAGAATGCAAAATTAACTCATTCGTAAAAAACACCAACAAACAGAAAATTTTAAGAAGAAATACGGTGCTCTAATTATTTCGAGATATGTAGGCACTAGGTCTTATTCATGCATTTCCCTTGGCTTGTTAGCTTTAGATCTGACACACCCTTTGATTTGAATTACAAGAGTGGATCCCATGGAGTACCACGGACGTGAGTGGTGCTAATACATTCCCCTAACGTAATTGACTCCCGTACCCTTCTTTTGGTCGCGTGACCTTGATGATTTCCTTTCTCAGGTTTTCTTTGATGTTATCCTTTCTCTTCATTGGGATAAATAAGTATTCGATGGCGTATTCATTGTTTCTTCATCAGCATCTATATACCAGAAAGAGGAAAATTTACTATCCAGCATAGCTTTCTCACCATACACAATCACTAGTGTAACACGGTGAGAGAACTGACTTGATTTTATGTTTTATCGTAAATGTGCGGATAGCAAGAGTCGCCACCGACTTTTCTTTTATCCAATAAGGAAAGAGTGAAAAGAACAGTAAGGAACTTCGAGAGTTTTGAGTTCGGGGGGTAGGTTATGAAAAGGGAAGGTGTTATCACCCTTTTCATCCGTAGTTATCTACAGGCTCTTAATCGCTAGCTCACTTTATTTTGAAAATTGCTTTGTGAATGTGTGTTTGAAAAATATCTTGAAAGATTGCCAATGTAAGGAGAAACTTTGTAATGATTCTCGTATCTGTCCTCGAGAACGCGTACAAAGTGTTTGTGTTGAAAATATTTTTGAAAGTGTTTGAAAAGTGTCTTATTTTTTGGAAATGTTTGTGAGCAAGCGATTACGATAATTCTACCTACTCAAGGTCATTCTTGTGTTTTCCTCCTCCTTTAGATAGTGTTATCTTAACATTAGTTAGCAGGAAGCCTTATCGTTGGATGTGAAGGGACAGACGTGTGTCATTGTACAGTCATCGAAGGAAACTGGTAGGGATGCTTTAGCAATTTTCGTTTAAGGGACTAGACAGTTTACCGAAGGCAACATCGAAAGGGTCATCAAGGGACTACGATCTTTGTTTTCGAGGGAATGTGTTAAAGCATCCTCGTGTTCGAGGGGCGTGACTGTTTTGTAATTCGAAGGCAACAAGGGAGGTTACCCTAGAGGTGCAAGTGTGCGAGTGTGTTCATTTCAGTTATTTAGTCTTTGAAATTAGGGTTAGCTATCGTTTGCTTTTAATCATCCCATACATGACCTAATTACTAACAGTAACATAGTAAAAATAATAAAGCAGAAAAGATGCGGAAAATAAATGCGGAAAGATAAACCCTAAGCTATTACACGGCTTTGGGAGAGATACATAAGTAATAAATTGCAGGAAAGTAAACCCTAAGTACTATTACAAACCGGGAAACAGTTACATAAAAAAATGCAAGAATAATAAATATTCGCGAAAGTAACGGGTGATCTGAAAATATAAAAAAGAAAAGAAAATATTTTTCTATTTTTGGTATTTTTTTATGAAGAAAATGGTTTATGATGAATTTATTAAAGAAACCTAAAAAAACTAATTAATTTTAGTGATTTTTTTTATTAATTTGATAAAAAAAACCCTAAAATCTAATTAATTTTAATTAAGAAAATTAATTGATTAAATTAGTTTAAAAAGGCGATTAAAAATAACCTAATTAATTAAACTAAATTAATGTTTTAGTTTAATTAAAATTAAAACAAATAATTTAAAGAAAAGAAAATAATAAAGAGAGGAAGAAAATGGGCCTGAAACAGCAAGCAAATGGGGGGTGCAGATTGCAATTCATTAGGCCCAATAAGAAGAAGCCCGATATATCTAGTGCATCCAGCCAGAGGGGGTGCAACATGCACTTGTGGATCTGGGATTGTTGGACCAGATCTATAGAGATATGATGGTGATGGTTAAGGAGGCGCATGGTTGATGCGTGATACGTGTTACACTAGATCTGTAAAAGAGAGAAAATATGAAGAAAAAAACATTGTGAAGCACCAGAATCAAACCCACGCCCTGGTATAGGTATTCCTTAACGTGCGCTTGCTTGCCACTAGGGTGGCTATACATCAGTTATTTAAACTGAAACGATTAAAACAAATATTAAAAAAAACGCATAGACCAGAGAGACGTCGGAGCCCTAGCTCCATTCGTCTTCTCCGGTGAATAGATTTCTTGTTCCTGCAAAACAGCATATATTAGAGATCCAGGGGGACCCTACCCCCGTAAATCAGGCCCTACGAATCCAATGAAAAGGTTATCTTGGACCGAATCGCACTAGGTTTTGAGCTATAACAAAAATAACGCAAATTTGTATGAACATGGTGGTTCATGATTTGGCCATTATGAGACTAGTTCTTTGGGTTATTCCTGCACCATTAAACCCCATGAGCATGTTAGCACAATTAGTTTGTCTTAAAACGCAACAAAAATAAAAAATGTAAAAATCATGCAATGATGCTCCTGTGTTTCTGGCCTTTAGGATCGTTGTAAACGATCCAACCTTACCCTATGATCTTACTGGAATTGATTGGAATGGATGGTATGTATTTAAAACGACTGTGTTGTACCCCAAAATTTTACATCTCATTTTTTATTCAAGATATTATCCTAGGTCTTCTCGAATACTCAATTTGGCTCAGAAGTTTGATCAGACAGATTCTCTTCCTAGGCAGTAAGTCAACAATTAGGGTTTGACGTCTCTCAAAGAAAAATGATTCTTCAAGGTTTCAAATGGTCTTCATAGATCTTCATGTCTCCTCAAGGATGTTCATGCCGAGTTTCGAGCCCCGCGTTACAAGTTTTCTCAGTCAATGGTTCAGACGACTGAAAATGACTCCATTAACCCAAAAGCCGACCTTTTGCGAGACCAAGTTCAAGCGACTGTAACTTCTTCATTATTCGATATTTTTGAGTGGTTCTTCTTGCGTATGACTCTCCTCGATGTTATCTCCAATTTCTCTTCACAAATCAAGAGCTGATTACGTGTAGAAGATCACCAAATTCGAATGCGTTAGAAGTCACTTCATGGATTTTGACCTAATCTTAAATAACTGTCGCCTGATTTCTAAGAATTGAGATTTCCTCAAACTACAAGATCTTGAGACGATCATTTATGCATATGGTCATAAGTGATGTTGCACACGAGTTTATCTTCAAAGATCAAAAGAAATTTGTGTTTGAAAGACTTTGAAAGTGATCGAATCATCACAAGTCATTTTGTTTGATTTCGAATATTCTCAACCACAGTTGTTTTGAAATCTGTCAATTCTACAAGATTGATGAATGTTCTTGAAGCATGTCGGTTTGGCAATGAAATTCCATTTTTATCGAGCATGGTGTGCGAGTTCGTTTTGAATGCAAATTTGGTTTGGACAAGAGGTGAAGATTAAGACTATCATTTAGGTGACCATGGCTTTGGGTTTGAGTTAACCAAGTTAGAATTGAATTCTTAAACATTTATTTTGTTTAGAAATTTGATTGGAGTACGAGGCGCTTTGGTTTATTTGATCATTTTGTGAT